TTGGCCAAGCTCTTCCCTCCTCGAGAAATGTCTGGATTCAAGGCTGGCGTTGGGATCTTCAAGGAGAAGATTGTGACAAAGAGGTTCATTTTCAGTGCCTCCAAGATTGCTTCTCTAAGAGCAAAATACACAGACAACACAAGTGTAGAAAACTCTAGACGCCCTACTCGTATCGAGGCCTTGTCGACCTTCATTTGGAGCCGTTTTGTGGCCAGCACACAAAGCGAAGAAGAGCCCGAGAAGCTCAACACCGTGCTCCACGCGGTGAACCTACGCACGAGGATGGACCCTCCTTTGCCAGAGTACTATTTTGGCAACGTTAGCAGCTTCGCGATCGCGGTGCCATCCATGGACTCCAAGGAAGAATGTTACGGGGTTGTGAGCAGTGTGAGAGATGCTATCAAGAACATCAATGGTGAGTTCGTGAAGAAACTTCAAGAGGGTGATGACTTCTTGAATTTCATAAAGAATAGGGCTAAGTCGGTCAAAAAAGAGGAGGTGGTTTCGGTTAGCTTCACCAGTTTGTGCAGGTTTCCTCTCTATGAAGCTGATTTCGGGTGGGGAAAGCCTGTGTGGGTTGGCTCAGCTAGCTTGACATTCAAGAATTTGGTTGTGTTCATGGACACCAAATTGGGTGATGGAATTGAGGTATGGGTCAACTTGAAGGAAGAGGACATGCCTAAATTTGAGATTGACAAGGAATTACTCAAATATGTTTCACCAATCGCAGACGATAAAAGTTCTGGTTTTCAGCTTCTGCTTTAGATGACAACTATACATATAAGTTGTGGTTTTATTGTTCAGTTAAATTTATTTCAAGTCTTATACTAAATTCAATTAAAATGGTGTAATAATGATCTATTTGATCACTGCAAGTGTGTATTTTATCTCCCCTCTAAAGTAGTAAGAAATGGAGTCATCAAAATATATACCTAAGTCTGAATGCAAGAGTTAGGCACTCTAACAAAGGAGTTGTGGGTCACATGTGGTTGGCTCCACTGGTCCACAACCCTCTGTGCACGAGAAATTATTATATAGTTTGAAACTGCATGATTTCAGTCATTCACATATAATCATGTATATAATTTTATCAACTTTTTATTTATGTGATCGTATATGATTAGTCTGGTCTATAACCATCTAATCCCAGACCATATAAAAAACATTCTTTGTAAAAATAGCAAACACTTGGATTGGGACAGCTCATCATTTGCCTTTGAAAATGAAATGGCTTGGATATTGATATTAAAAAGTACGATTAGGGTATTCTCTAATGATTTTCTTTCAAATGATGGATATATGAAGAAAATTTCCAGCTTATTACATTTTAATATAACTTAAACAAGGGATAATAACATGAACTAAAAAGATTTACAATGCAAATGGGAGCCCTACATGATAGGCCCAAAGCCTTAAGGAGGCTACAACAGAAAGTGATCTAAAGTAAGCCCAAGAGGGCATAAACAGCAAATGAAGAAAACAAAGAATTTAAGGAACAGCGGCAATGTCCAAACATGCCCTTAAAATCATCTTCATTTTTGTTTTAGCAAACAATCCACTCAACGGACAAACTACGTTTTAACTATCCAATAGTGCACAAACATTGGATGCACGCAGTCGCCACAAATTATAACAAAATTTATAAGAAAGTAGATAATATTATAAGGTACTTACACGTGATACCTCAGTCAATAAACAAATATAGAAACTCACAATTTATCATATATTAAGATAAATTGAAATTTTTTATTTTGTTCATTGTTGAAAATACCACATATATACAATACCCATATGGTATTATAAACTGTCTCAAAATTTACAGTACTTGTGAATTTTCAACCCTACAATGTTATACAATATAAGGTAAATATAAGGTAAGGTTGGGATGAGATCATTTGCACCTTATCCAGATCAGTCACTTGTGAAATACACTTTCGATCCCGCTGATGATATTTTACGAAGTAGCGCAAATTAAACAATTTAAATGTTCTTAATTTAATAAAACTTAGAACAGTAGGTCTACAACCAAATAATAATTTAAAAAAAAAAAAATCTTTTATGGACAAGTCTATCATGAAAGTGTTTAGTGATCACCATAAAGTTCAAAAGGGCATGATCTCAATTAGAACTAGCTAAGTTCACTCTTTGAGGTTGATGATGCTTTTATTCTACAATTTATTTCCATGGATGAATGAAATTCCTTCATTATATTAATTATAATATAATGAATTAATTAAAAAAAGGTTATCTCTCATTCATAGACCACGTGACAGTCTATAGTGAGCACGTGAAGGAGGTTATTGCAAAAATGAACATTTTATTAAGGAATTAAAAAAACGACTTCACTGGGGATCGAACCCAGAATCTCTGGTTCCGTAGACCAGCGCCTTATCCATTGGGCCATGAAGTCCTTTTGTTTCGTTCTTTACAATCGTCAGCTAATCTTCTTGTGACTTGCTACTTAAGGAAGTCTTGACCAAAGAGCTTTGAATGCCATTTTTCTTATACACAAATTAGCTTTTCTCAAATTTGTTTTTGAACACCTAATCTCATGTCTATGATGACTCCTAATAGACTATATAAAATGCCTAAAACACAATTTCATGCATTATTTTTATTTTTATTTTGTTATAATGGCATTTATAAATATTTAGTTGTACATTCATTATCTGAAAATGATAAAAAAAAAAAAAAAACAAAGGTAGCTCACGAGACTCATCATTGCGAGGTATGGAAAGCGTCAGATTTACACAACTCATTCCTCATTTTCAATAATTTGAACTCGTGCCGTTCAGGTCATAATGAAGCAAACCTTGAGACTCCGGTTGGATACACAAGAAAGAAAAGAAAAAAAATGATAGTATTAGTTACGAGAAAAGAAAATAAAAGAATGATAATAATAATCTCTATTCATGTTTGGATACATATGAGAGAAAAGAAAAAAAGAAAGAGATAATAACTAAATTACTATCATGCCATTTTAAATAGATGGGGCATGAGTGAAATAATAATTTCATCATTTTAATTGTTGAGGTAGTTTCGAAATTATGAAAATATCATTTAAACACCATCATTTCTCTGCTTATTTTCTCATTTTTTGAGAGAAAGAATATGAGGAATAAGGAATGATAACTATCTCTCCATGTCTCTTCCTATCATTTCTTTTCTCTTATTATAAATAACACAAACACAATCTACACCACCATTTCTTTTCTTTTCTATCACTATCCTCCAAATCTCTCAATCAAAACATACCCTAAGGAAATAAAGCACCAACCAACTAAAGAACTTGAAAGTTACCTTGGCTATCATTTAAAAAATGGAATTGATGATCAAATCTGTAGTTTAGTTACCTCAGATTTCTAAATTGTTGAGTTATAATTTTATACACTTGTGCTTTATCCTTGAGTTACATAATTTGCAATGTTGAATTATATATGTTGACCTATATATATAATTATTATCCTCAAAGATGCAATAATAAAAAGCAACCATAGAGAATGAACTAAAATCTCCACTTTGTGAAGGGTATCTGATTTTTGGAACAAAAACACCAAAAAAACAAACAAAGAAGCTAAAACAAAGCATGCACAGTACCAACTCTTAAAATGTTGTCAGCTTTAGGGATCCACATCCACTTGGTCAACTTAAATTTGGTAAAGTATCAATCAGAGGAGGAGGAGGAGAGGCCAAAAGAATCAGAAAATCAGAGGAGCAGTCCACATCAGAATTAACTTATTTTTGTTACAAAATCCTATAAGAGTGCCTTGAGATTCTGTCTTGTAATTAATTCTATTTAACACATAATATATTGTTCCAATAAAAAATTGGAATTGGGTATTACTTGGCAAGGCCCTTGGTGATGGATGCGTTTGAATTCAGGGAAGAAGGGAAGGAAAAGAACAATAGAATAGAATGTAACATTGTCTCATGTTTGGTTTAAAAAAGTTAAAAGTAAGAAATCAATTATGTTATGTTATGTTTGGTTGTATGAAATTGAAAAAAATTTAGTTTAAATTTTAAATTAATTTATCTTCAATTCTAATTTTAAAAGTACCAATTTTATGCAACCGAACATAACATTTAAGTAATTGGGAAAAAAAAAATAACTACGGTTTTGGAAGAAAAGGAAATAAGAAGAGAATGAAATAAAGGGAGGATCCCCCCCCTTCTCTCTAAAATTGAGCTAAGATTAGGTTTATTTTAAGAAAACTGACTTTCTTAATTCTTGGAAAATAATTTTCTATTTTCTAAAACCTTGGAAATATCATGATGAGTATAAGAACATCAAATGATACATATTATGAAAATTATGATTTTTATGATATATTATCACTAATGATATGGATGTGATTGCCAAACAAGTGTATTTTAAAAATAAAATTTAAGAGGAAAAATATGAAAAGAGATGGAAATCCGAAAACAAATTAAGTGAAAAAATGAAAAAAGAACTCCGAAAACCTCGTAACAAATCAAGGAGAGATATATGCACACTTCTGATTCATCAACAACTTTCATAAGAATACTGTGTTGTGAATATGAGATTTGCTTTATGACCCACAACCATAGTTTGAAGTTGCGATATCACGATAACGGTTGTGGTCGTAGTGTAACGAACTCGGACAAATATCGGTATAAATTAACCGAATCAGTCTGTTCATGAAACCTTAAAAAATGGTTAATAACCGGACAATACTGAACCATAATCCAAACTAAGGTTTTAGATCTGGTTGACAGACAATGAAGAAGTTGTTACTATAATTTCATTTTCTTTTACCTTATTAGTTTTTCAAACATTAATTTGAACAAGTCACCTGAAATGACACATATGCCCTTATAGACTTTACTCCAATGTATCAAATTAAATTGTTGACCAAAGCTCTTTGGTAAATTTGCTTGAAGTGTTGCATAATGCACATGGACGGTGGGACTGACAGTTTGTCCTCAACATTCACTTTCTATCTTGAATCTTGTTGGGTCCTCTCTTGTCCTTTTACATAATTGCAATACCACTTTATTTTGAAGTTCTCATCATCTCTACTCTCTCTCTCTCTCTTTCATGGAGCCCTTTTGCTTGAGATTCATTCTCACTCTGGTGGTAGTATGTTCAGTTAATTCAGTCCCAAACACTGTCTTAGCCAATAACCCATGTGATTTTCCGGCGATATTCAACTTCGGCGACTCAAATTCCGACACCGGCGGCTTGTCTGCCGCATTCGGCCAGGCCGGGCCACCTAATGGCGAGTCATTTTTCCATGGCCCCGCCGGACGTTACTCTGATGGACGTCTAGTAGTTGATTTTATAGGTAAGTGCACTTTATCTACTTATTATTGACAATCTAGTTTTTTTAACATTTTATTATTTATATATATATATATATATTATATAGGTGCTGCAAAATAAATCTAAACCTTGGTTAAAGATACAAAACAAAGATGTATAATTCGTAGTAGTAATTTTAGTCATTTGTGCTACTCCAAATAGCAATCCAAATGTAGTCCTAAGGCTAGGTTCTTAACAACCAAAAGGCTTTTTTGGGTAAAAATATTTATTAATTAATTGAGAATATTTAAAGAGTACTGTTACATTTGATCATTGTTTTTTTTTTTTTTTTTTTTTTTTTTTTTACCTCTTTTATTTATTTATTAATTAATTGAGAATATTCAATTATTAAGTGTCCAACGAAAACTCTTAATCAATAAATGGATAATGATATATTTCTTTTCTTTTAAAGAGTTCAAACTCAGTAATGGATAAAAATATGTTTCTTTCTTTTTAAAGTGTTCCAACAACAACAGCAACAGCACATCTCTATTAAGAGGCTTTTATCATTTCCATATTTGTATCTCTTGTTGGGTTGATCTTAATAGTCACTTTGTATTTTGAATAAGTACAAGTATTATATATAGAAGTTTTTATTTTTATTTTTATTTTTTATTTTTATTTTTATTTTAAGTTAACTCGGGTGTCCGGGATGACACGAAACCTCAGAGTTCCTCAATAATTCGATTAATCTCTGAAGATTCGGAAGAGTGTCTTCTCACCTAGGTAAAATAAGTCACTACAAGAACAATAGAGACTAATCACAAAGAACACTCAATAAAGACGCCCTTAAAAGGACAAAGAGTTATCAATACATTTAATATTTGAAATAAATTAATTAACGTGCAGAGTGGCTTTTATGGGTACAAGTTTTGAATGTATCTATCGGGCGCAAATCACCTGCTGTGCAATTTTCATGCTATTTCCTACAGTGAGCAATAAGTGGCCTTGGTTTGACCACGTTCTATTCCACTTAATAGACACTAACACTGTGTTTGACAATTGCACCACTATTTATAAGTAACATATCATCACCATTTTTAAGTAACGTTACAGAAGTCTAAAAGTAATATTACATAATCTAAAAAGTAATATCACCACCATTTATAAGTATCTTTTACTCTCAAAACGTGGTGATGTTATTTTTTAAACTATGTGATATTACCTTTTAGACTTCTGTGATGTTACTTATAAATGGTGGTGATGTTACTTTTTAGCTTATTTTTACATTTCAGTACTATTTATAAGTAACATCACAGAGTCTAAAAAGTAACATCACCATTTGTAAAAAGAAACATTATCGCTTTTAATTTCAAATAATAACATAAATGATATGTTGAATTGAGTTATGTTTATATGTTTATATGTTGAATTGAGTTATGTTTATAAATGGTAGTGAAATATTATTTATAAATAGTGGTGTAATTGGCCAAATACAGAATGATATGGCTAAATATGAACCACTTAAAAGTTATAATAGGAAACTGCATGAGAGCCTCACTGCAGGTGATTGTCTATATTACCAAAAGATAAACAATATATATATATATATATATATGAGAGCACTGTTTGACAAAATAAACATGATTTCAGGATCACGTGATTGTGAGGCAATGGTCTGGTAACAATTCTTGTTAATCGTGGGTTGTTTGACTACAATCTCTGGGCAAAATTTATGGGACGCCCATACGAACACGTTTTTTATTTTTCTATGTGAGAAATATCTATCACATATCCTCATCATCCACCAACCAGTGGGTCCCACCCTAGATAGCTAAAACCAATTTAAAAAAAATTTCAATCCAAAAATAAATTTTGTAAAAGTGAAAATAACAAAAAGATAAAAGGTGATTAGAATTTAAAATCTACTTGAATAATAACATTTTATGATTCTAGGATATTAAATTTGAAGGTAAATTTTACCGACCTCACTTTTAAAGTTTGGACAAATTACATCTAAATAGGCCATTTAATAATCATTATTTTGATATCTTTAAACATGTTATATTGCATTTCAAATAAAGAAAATACAAAATTGTCATTTTATAAAATTTGGTAATAGGTTCATTAGAACGAAAGCGTTAGGGGATGTCGTTGAGCATATGCGCTAAGTCTTGGGAATGTTAGTTTAATTTTATCCCAAATTGAACTGCAAAAATCAGTATATTCTTCAAAGTCCGGGTGCAAATGAGAGAATATGTGTATTGTATAGTTGGCCATGGAATTTTTTACTCTAAAATGATTATAGAAAAGTCTTGAAGAAGTTAAATTAAAATTTTTTAATTTTTAATTTTTATTATTCAAATTAAACACTCCCATTTCTTGATGATTGATCTTGATATTGATTGGGCTTTTCAGCGGAGAGCTTGGGCCTACCATATCTGAGTGCCTATCTTGACTCGGTGGGCTCCAACTTCACTCATGGGGCCAACTTTGCCACTGCCGGATCCACCATCAGGCCCCAAAACACAACCCTTCATCAGAGTGGTTTTAGCCCAATCTCATTGAATGTTCAATATTATGAGTACAATGATTTCCAACATAGGTCTCAAATCTTTCGTAGCAAAGGCAATGATCTCCTACTACTCAGTTTATTATAAATTTTATTTCAAATGATAGAAAGATCTAAGCCGTTGAGAACTAATGATTTTCTGTGATTACAATAGGAGGAGTTTTCAAGGGACTTTTACCAAAGGGTGAAGATTTTTCTGGCGCTTTGTACACGTTTGATATTGGGCAGAATGATCTAACGGCTGGTTATTTTCTTAACATGACTACGGATCAAGTTAGAGCTTATGTTCCTGATGTATTGGATCAATTCAAAACCATAATAAAGGTGAGTGGTATACGAATTTTTTTTTTTTTTTTTTCAATATTGTTTTTGAGTTTCTATTCAACTTTGAATTTAAAATGAGTTGGGCATTATTCAGTGGCTTAATTGGCAAAGCTAGTGCCTAACTCTCCGAGGGGGTATGGTCTGTATTTAAGTCCCCCTTCCCCTAATTTGTCAGAAAAAAAATATATTTAAAATTAGTTAAATGAGTCGAGATTGATTTATTATTTTTACTAAATGTTGCTTGTTAAACACGATTTAATGATTGGGAGAAATTAAGGATTCGTGCTTGTTTTTACATAGTATATATATGATCATGGAGGTAGATCATATTGGATACACAATACGGGTCCTGTTGGGTGTTTACCATATGTGTTGGATCGTTTGCTGATCACAACTGGTCAAGTTGACAAGTTTGGATGTGCGAGTCCATTCAACGAGGTGGCCCAATATTTCAACCGTAGATTGAAGGAAGCTGTGGTCCAACTTCGAAAGGATCTTCCATTAGCTGCAATTACATACGTTGACGTCTATTCAGTAAAATATGAACTCATTAGTCAAGCAAAGAAGCACGGTACGTATATCTGTTATTAAAAATTTTTGAATAAAAAATAATACATTTTTGGTCAAAGTTTTACCTTTTAAAGTCATTTGATTAGATATGATGTCATGACATCATGTAATGAGACCCACCACTCCTCTCATATAACGATCTCAAAATCACTATGCTATTTGAAATTGTTATAACATGCACTTGAAATATGAATGTATGGAAAACAATATTATTCGTTTTAAGAATCCTACACGTTGTATATGGGATTTCGGGTTTTAAAATTTAGGGCTCGACATTTTTTTATATTATATATTTATCTATCTTTATATATCTATATGGTTAAACTGTGCTATTATACTTGTGCTATTGTAACCGACACCCGATGAGTCGGATGCTATTTATCATATGGTGAATGGTTATGACATAGCCTGGGAATTACAGGATTTGAGCACCCACTGAGAGCTTGCTGTGGTCATGGTGGAAAATACAACTACAACATGCATATTGGATGTGGAGGAAAGATTAGAGTGAAAGGGAAAGAAGTGTTAGTGGCCAAGTCATGCAAAGACCCTTCTGTTGCAATCAGTTGGGATGGGGTTCACTTCACAGAGGCAGCTAACAAATGGGTTTTTGATCAGATTGAGGATGGTTCTTTTTCAGACCCTCCTATTCCTTTGAAAATGGCATGCCATAGGCACCATAAACATTGAGCTAGTAAGGAAAATGATTGTGAGGCCCTCCGGTTACTTAAAGTGATTTGTCTGACCAGTTATTTTTGACTGATCGTGTATATAAAAATATAAGGAAGTGAAATCCTTTACTTTCTTATATTTGGTAAGGATGACCAATCAAAACTTGTATAGGTCACATAATTCACTTTGAGAATTCGGCCCAAATATTACTATTGAGCTAGTAGACATGCATGTCCTTAATAGATATACATGCAATTTATTAATGGTACTAATGCCATGTTCTCAATTGTTTTGTTGTTAATTGTAATTTTGCATTTGGTATGACCATTGTGGAAGAAACAATGAAAACAACTTCTATTGGAACTAGAAGCATGATATATAGTAGAATATTTCCAAATTTATGATATAATTCGTTTTGTTAAAAAAAAGAAAAAAAATTAAAATTTGGCATAAAAAAATGAAAATGGAAAAATACGGATATGTTTAGTCATAATACTGTTTTTTTGCTTAAAAATTCGACTCCACATATATGATTTTTCTTCTCTTTGTGGTTTATATATTGTCATTTCACCAAAAAAAAAAAAAAAAAAAAAAAAAAAAAAAAAATTATTCATTTCAATAATATACAAGATTAAATAATTAGTATGGAGATTTATAGAGAGAGAATTTTAAAACATTGAAGAGTTGGTACAAATTAATAGATCAGAGAAAAATGTAGAAGAATAGAAAGCTTCTAAATATGTATATACTTATGTGGAGAGTTATGGAAATTAAATCTGAAATTTGTAGACTCAAGAATATTGTAGAAGAATAGAGGTTGTATCTTAATAGGATGTCTATAAATAGAAGTCGCATTTCGCATTTATGTTAAGCTTGTCCGCATTTATGTTTAAGCTTGTCCGTCCTTGGGATTTCCTAATATCCTTCCTGAGTACTTAATGCGGACGGTTGGAGAGAGATGGGGTGGGGTGCTCTGTACATATTAGTAGTATATATAGAGAAAGAGGGTGAATGGGGGCTACGCGCATAACTGTGTCCATAATTTTATTATTTATTCGTATTAATACTGATTCTGTTAACATCGTCTATAGTAGATAGAAAGAAATGAACCAAGAGACTAAAGGGAACATTCCCTAAAAACAACGTACATACACAAAATCGTATGAAATTAAAAACTATGTAAAGATAAATTTGGCATCAAAAATAATATATTTAACCTTTCCTTCCTTTCCTTCCATTTTTTGAAGGATAAAAAAATTCTATTTAAATCTTAATGATATCATTTCAAAATCATTCCTTTCCTTTCCTTTTTCTTCCAACTATTTAGGCCATATACAATTTTTTAATTATAACCTTTGGATGAAAAATAACTGGAATAACTGGTACGAAATAGAAAGGTAGTGTCATTGGACAAAATCAAAATAAGAACTGATAAAAAAAAATTTTAAAAAAAAAATCAAAATAAGAAAATATAGAGGATATATGTGGCTTGGGGAGCCACGGTGGACACAACATCCATAATGTATTCAAAATCAAAATAAGAAAAGGTCTTTTATCTATATACAGCCCAATGCCTCTACTGACTAGAAAGGATAACTTTGATAATTTAGACCTAGGATCTATCGATGAGTTTGATTGAATTTAATATTGGTGTCCTTTTATATTATTTCTCCTCTTTTTCTTCTAAATCTAGCTTTCTCCTTAGTTTCTTATAAATTTGGCTTGTTTGTTGTTTTTAAAATATATTTTTTTTATAGAAAATAATGAAAAATCAAAATTCCCGAAATTTTTAAAAAAAAAAAAAAAAAAATGAGAAACATCACATTCTGTCTCTATACAATTACTTTTGTGACTCTGGTTATTTAGCACAGAGATTGAGACTACCATATCTGAGTGCCTATCTTGACTCGGTGGGCTCCAACTTCACTCATGGGGCTAATTTTACCACTGCTGGTTCAACCATCAGACCCAAAAACACAAGTCTTCATCAGGGTGGTTTTAGTCCCACTTCATTGAATGTTCGACTTCATCAGTACAATGATTTCCAACATGGGTCTCAAATCTTTCGTAGCCAAGGCAATGATCTCCTACTACTCAATCTATAAATTTCATTTAGAATGATAGAACGATATGAGCCGTTGAGAACTAAAAATTTCTGTGATTATATTAGGAGTTTTCGAGGGACTTTTACCTATGGGTGAAGATTTTTCTCGAGTTTTGTACATGTTTGATATTGGACAGAATGATCCCTCGGCTTGTTATTTTCTTAATATGACTATGAATCAAGTCAGAGCTTATGTTCTTGATGTATTGGATCAATTCAAAATTATAATTAAGGTGAGTGACGCCTTTATTATTGCAAATAAATTCATGCGTTTATCTTTTTAATGACGTGAAACTCTTTCAACCATGATCTTTTGGATTTATGACTGTAACCTCCGCAGACCATTGGGACACGTCGTGTGTATGTAAGGTGGCCGCGTGCAAAACACATGAAGGCTTGTGATTTTGATTTCACAGTTTTGGAAATTTTGGCCCAAATCTTACTATCTTTTTAATCGACTCACTAGGGGTGTATGTCGATTGGGCGTAGTCTGAATTGACTCGATCAACCTACCCAATATGAAATTATCGGATTCGAGTTAACAACTTAAATCAAAAGTTAGGTTAGTGTTGGGTTGGTCGGACATCACCCAATATCAAATTGGATCCATGGGCTTGCACTTCTAAGCAAATATTATTATTACGGAGTATTATTTTTCTCATCCCCTAAGCAATTTGCCCATGTTTAAACAATATTTTTAATTAAAGCAATTTAAACTCAAACGGATCTTGATTTTGATTTTTTTTTTTTTTTTTGATAAGAAACACACTTACACATTCATGTGTTTCTATGGGGGCTTGAACCATTGACCTTCTATTTTGAAAGGCGAAAAAATACTAGAGTACTTAACTCTGAGTAGATATTTGGTGCACTAAGCGCGCCATGTCATAGTTATACCAACCCATTGAAACACAACATATTATTTCATTATCAACAATTTTATAAGTAGGTGGACCAACTTTTTTTGAAATAACGCATTGTTATTGGATGGGTACACTAATGACATAGCGCGCGCCTAGCACATCCGATATTTACTTCTTGACTACATAGTTGGTCGAACCTACCTTTATTCAATTCATTAGCTTGTTTTCTAAAGCTTGTTTAGGGTTTTATAGTAGATTTTTATTTTCTTTATCAGTTTTGATTTTTGGTATGTAGTCAAGTTTGAATTCAAAACAAAGTTAATTAAATGAGTCGAATTTGAGTACATTGAATAGTAGATAAACTATATAAACTCAACCTGATAGACTTGACCTAAAGTCAACATAAATATGATTGACTCGAGTTTTTTTTTTGGCTTCATTGTATCCCAATACCTTTTTTATTTTATTTTTAAATAATGCATTGCTCGTTAATTTGTTATACATGATTTATTGATTAAAAGAAATTAAGGAACATTAATTAATGTGCTTGTTTACATAGGATGTATATGCTCACAGAGGAAGATCATATTGGATACACAACATGGTTCCTATGGGGTGTCTACAGTATGCCTTGAACCGTCTTATTAGAGTCGATCAAGTTGACAAGTGCGGACGTGCAACTCCATTCAATGAGTAAATCAAAAAGCTACTAACTTTGAAGGAATATTTCACTAGCTGCAATCCCATACATTGATGTCTATTCAGTAAAATATGAACTCATCAGTCAAAAAAAAAAAAAAACACGGTACGTATTTATACTAGATCTTCAAATTCGGTATGTCAATATCTTACATATTGATAATTACATACACACGTATTATAATATATATATATGTGTGTGTGTATATATATTTAACCTGCCTCATGTTAGCATGCATAGTTTTTTTATATTTTTTGTTTTGAAGCATAAAAAATATTGAGACAGTCACATATATATAGGATAGTAGAAGGATTAAACAACTACTGTAAAATTTTGAGAAAAAACATAACACATCTCGGTCAAGGTTTTTCACCTTTCAAGTCATTTGACTAGATTTGATCGATTTAAACTGTACTTTCAATCAACTTGTATGTCAAATGAGTTATTTTTTAAAAAAAAATTATTTTTGTTAATTATTTTTTTACTTTCTAGTGGAACACTTTTAATCATGATGTCAATTGACACAATCTTCTTCTTTTTTTTTTATTTTTTTTATTTTTTTTATTTTTAAAGACATTTGAATCATGGGATTTCAGAATATTTGAAACATAGTTTCTTTTTCTTCCAAACAATAAAATTTTAAGCAAGTATGTTGCCGAAATTTGAACCTAATGAATATTCCCAAGAAAAATGTATTACAAAGATTTCAATATACACAAGGTTCAAAGGAAATTGATTTAAATCTCTTAAACACTAAATTTTATTTAAAAATATTAAAATATAAACTTGAAATATATTCAAATTACCAACGGGTCAGTGACCTAGCGGTATCAGCCTATATATATATATATAAATATATATATATTGTAACGACTCTAAACTGAATACCGAAAATAATAAAAATTTTGAAAAAAATTTCGGCATGACCTCCGCTAAAAAGGGTCCTACCACAACCTGTTTAAATGTATAAAAGTGTATAGGGCGTCTCTGGGACCTTCAAAATTTACCTAACCTGTCCCAGCACAATACAAATAATACATTTTTTTTCAATCATTCATTATATCTCAATATAGTTCAGTTTATGGTGGAACAACTACATGCTATTTAATCCAAATATCATAATTACAGTCCAAAAAATATAATTAAGGTCAAACGTCCATGTCTTACAACGTCCATGACTTCTAATAACATTACAGCCCATGAATATAACTACAATAGCAAAAGTTCATAGGTCTCAGTACAGAATACAATATGCTATACAAAAATAACAAAAGATCTTCTAATCCAATTTAAACCTGTAGTGGAATGTCATCCACCACTTCTTTCCCGAACCCTGAAAAATGTTAAATAATAGGGGTGAGTAAAATTGCTCAGTAGGTAGTGCTTAAGGCACACCTCTTGAGACCCGGTGAATCCACACAATGAATAGGCATAAGGAAATTGGGACCATGCCATATTGAAAAAATAATATAATCACCATGCCACATCATTAATCCAATACAACAAATGAATATGCCATGAAATAATATGCCATGCCTCGAAATTTCACTTCCCATTTTTCAAAACCATTTCCATTATCATTTTCAAACAGTTAGTGAATCCGTCCCATGGCAACTCCATGGCGGCATGAGATGAGGATTGGCCACTGTCCCTGACCTATGGCAATGTTGGGATTTATATGCCCTGACATAGCAAATTCCTATCTGGATTATAGTGACATATGTTCCTGACATATCTGAAATATTTATGATTTATATAATTGGTGAATTCAATGTATTATGTTTCGATTCACTATGAAATTGATAGTGTCCATGTAATTACAAGAAATATTTATATATATGTATGTGATGGCAATCAATGCATGATATATAAATAGTAATTATAAATTGTTCATAGTCGGTAATTATGGATGGACTCATAATTAATTAAGACTTGAACTGGATCCGCGTTAGGTTGAGATATATTGCGAGAGCCGTCGTATGCAATTACTCCCTATCACCGTCATGGCATTTGACTCTTAAGCATGAGAAAAGTATAGACTCTTTTATTAATTAATAATTACTTTGATTTGTTCGGCGGATTCTTCGGGATCCTTAGACCGACACTTTGGGTAGTTATGTAATTAATAGTTAGAGGGTTATATTTTCAATATTTGCATCATTGCTACTTGTATTTATTTTGTATTGATTATGGTTGATCACAAAGTAAATTCGAAGGCCTTCGTGTGTTTTTAGACAAAATGATTTATTATATATTTATTTATTTAAATTATTATTTTTGTCAAACAAATGTTTTATTGTGATCGAGCCAGAAATAATCAGAGGTACCAAAATAGATATATTAATTAAGTAGTCGGATTGATGGCTTTATTTATCCGATAACTAATTATGCATAGAGGGGTCAAAGTGCAATATTGACTTAGAGGTTATTTATTATTTAATTGGAGTTCAATTAATTTCTTTTAGTGGAGTAGAAGTTAATTTATGAATTAATTGAATTGGGTCCATGGACCGGGCCAATTATTAATTCATTGCAGCCAATAAAATAATAGGCCCAATGGATTCTCACTCATAGCCCAACTTGATATTGGAATCATATTAGATTTGAGACATATGAATTAGAGATGGAGAAGGATTTGTTGTTTCCTTTTCTTTATTTTTATGTTGCCTATAAATATACATGGTCTATGTATATTTTAGGGGGTGATTTTTAATGAGAAGGAAAAAGGAATTTATTTTCTCTCTCTAGAAAATTAGGGTTTATGGTCTCATCTAATGGAGGCTCCCACAAGCCTAGTTTTCCAAGGTAATTCATGGAGGCTTATGAGTGATTCCTAAAGGCAAAATAATTACCAAGAAGATGGAGATCCAAGGAGAAGGCATTTAGCTAAGGGATGTACAATAAGTGAGAACATTCACTTTAGAGGAAAGTTTTAAAGGTTTACTCAGACCTTTGATGTAAGTATTCAATCCATTAATTGAATGATACATCATATTAATATTTTTGCATAAAACTTGTCTCTATGTGATGAATCAAGATCTATGAATCAAAATCCCTCGAAAAGTTTTTAAAACTTGCACGTTTCCCAACAGGCAACTCTATGGCGTCATGGGTCCCAGGTAACTCAACCACACTAGGGCGGTCTCCTTAATCCCCTCTAGGCCTCACTAACGCCACGATCCCTGGGTAACTCCTAGGCGGCGGGGTTTTTCAAATCAATTTTTCCCATTCCTTCCCAATGACATGCATGAATGTTTCATGCTTCCCAATGCCATATCAAATGAAGGAATTTTACAAATCACAAATCAATATAAGATTGTCATATTTCACAAATCAACACACTTCCATATAGCAATTTCTAGCAAATTAATCATAATAAGCATGGAAATTTAATACTTAGACATGCTTTACAACATAAAAAAAATTCTAAAATTATTTTTCATGCTTTCTAATCACCAGTCTAGCACTAAAGGCACAAGAAGCTTGGATTAATCAATAATTTACATGCTTCATTATCATATATATCAAGCAACACATAGTCACAACTTTGGCACAATATATATATATAATAAAGCAAAAAAAAAAAAAAAAAAAAACAAAATTTTCTACAATTTAAGCATGCTAATCATCAATTAAGTAGAATAATTCACAAAAAGGCTCAAGAACATGTGAATTAGAACCCTTACCTCCAAAATTATGAAAATCCCCAAATCCAAAGCCCTAGATTCGAAAATTTTAGGAGGCACCAAACTAGAAATTGCTCCTATCGATTTGTAGGCCTCGCTGTGAGCTTTAATTTGCCGCAAACGGCACTTCAAAATACCAAGAATTGAGGAATTAATCAAGAGTGGAACCTTGCAAAAGAAAAAGAAAAAAAAGAAATACAAGGAAGCAGAGAGGCTGCGAGAGAGAAGAAATAGCAGAGAACAAGAAAAAAAGAAAAAACGTGGTCGTATGACCACTTAAAACAATTGTGGGCCCCACCAATTTTTATTTTCTTTTCTCTTTTTCTTTTGCCTTTAAATTCACTCCACACACACACAATTACATATATATATGCATAACACAGACATTACATATATATTCAAATTAACACAACGTCTTTCGTTTTACGAAATTAAACTACCTTAATTATTCTTAAATTTCTAAACCATACACATCACACATTGGGTTTAGAAATCCGAACATGACATTTTTTATATGATGCATGATTATAACACAAGACATTATTCAGTGGCCTAATTAATGGAGGACAACTCTCCGAATAAGTGTGCTTGTATTCGAATCCTTCAACCCCTTGTTTGCTGAGACCTAGAAGATTATGACATAACTAGTATGAACTTACAGGATTTGAACACCTACTGAAAGGTTGCTGTGGTCATATGGGATGTGGAATAAAGATTAGAGTGAATGGAAAACAAGTGTTAGTGGCCAAGTCTTGCAAAGACCCTTCTGTTGGAATCAGTTGGGATGGGGTCCACTTCACAAAGGCAGCTAAGAGCAACTCCAATGCTCTCTCATTTGGGCATCTCAAACTCAAAATATAGGTGTTGGGTAAAAAAGGGCATCTCCAATGGGTTCTTATTTAAGCTCTCAAAATTTGAGATTCTCAAATTTCTTCTCATATATGGCAGCTACCAAATTTTTTTGGCAAGTCTCTCATTTCCAAAACGGTGCCGTTTCTCACCAATCATTACCCACTTGCATCTCTATATGTATATTATATATATAATATATATAAATTTTTGAAAAAAAATTATATAAAAAAATTAATTCACAAATAGTGGTAAAAAAATTATAAAAAATTTGTTTGTTTGTTTTTTTTTTTTTTTTTTTTTGGTCCTTTTTTGACCAGATATTTTAGATTTATACTTCTTTTTAATTAGGTTTAATTTTAGTTTCCTTTTAATATCTATAATTTCACTTGGAATGTGCCTAATATTAATATTACTGATGCAAATATGAATGGTGGGAATAATAGTTAAAAAAGAATAGTGGTTGTGTTAAAAAATACCATTTTGCGTGAAATATACCATTGGAGCAGAATTGCTAAATGTAACATTTTGGCACTGTAACACCTGTCAAAATATAGATTTGGCATGCGAAAATAGGTTTTGGCATTAGAGATGCTCTAACAAATGAGTTTTTGCTCAGATTGTGGATGGTGCTTTTTTAGACCCTCCTATTTCATTGAAGATGGCTTGCCATTTGGCACCATAACCATTGAGCTAGTGAGCATTTACTAACTAAATATGCATGCAATTTATAAGTTTTTGCATTTGGTATGACCATTGTTCAAAAAAAAAATTGAAAGGTGTGTTGAAACAACTATTGTGATTAGAAGCATTAATTACCTTCTTCTTTTTTTCTTTTTTCTTTTTTTTGTTCTGGTAACGAAAAATTAATTTACAATAAGTTTAGAACATGCTTTTCTGTTAAAAGATAATAAAATTCAAAGAGAAAAATGTCTAACAATAAAAAAAAAAAAAAAAGTTACTCAGACGAGTCAACCTTAAGCAGTGGTGGAGCCACGTTAGGTTCAACGGGACAACGTTCTTTTTTGTTATTAATACATTTTAGATTGAAGTTTTAATAATTCTAAACTTGCCCTCACTAAATTTAACTCACTGCCCACAAGATTTTCAAAATTAAAAAAGACCCTTTTTTCCCCCTTCAACTAGGTCTCACAAAATTTTTAAAAATCAAAATTCATATAGGATCCCTCCTTTGCTATGTTTTAATTTTGGTTCAAAATTTTTTATCATATTATTTTTAATAGTTGCTCCATCTGAAGTAAATTCTTGACTCCACCAGTGACCGTAAGCGGAAAGGGTAAATCCTCTTACTTAATTTCAAATATTAGAAATAAGAAACAAATTTGATATTGAAGAACGTCTTAGCTTTTGAACTATATCTCTAATAGGATTCCCAACAATTCAGCTCGGTGGAATTATAAAGCCTTCTTTCAAGACTCATCTGAGTAATAGAACGATTCCTCTTGAACCTCGACATTAATAGACACCGTAAACTCTTGAATGATATGTTCTGACATCAATACCCACCGTAAACTCTTGAATAATGTATTCCAACATCAATTGAAGCATGGAATTTGATGCCTTCAAATTGAAATTTAAAAAGTATTTAGTTCAAAGTTAGAACTAATTTTGCTGAAATTTCAATTACAAACCACCAATTTCATATGTAGTAGTTATTGATGATTGTAAATGGAAGGTGCTGATGACTCATTTTCAGACCCATCACTAGGTCATTTGTGTTCTTTCTTCCATGACTTGTTCTATCTTCTTAGAGAACCTTTTGAAAAATGAGTGGACTTTATTTTTCAAGCACCAATGTTGGGTCTGTTTCTGGCTGATAAAATTTTGGCCTTTTAGGAACCTTGTGCACCACATGCCCAAATAATGTAAAGCTTTCATCTACAACATCAAGTCACACCATGTGACAAGCATTTTAAAGGACCCCAAAACTTCTTTTCAACTTTTCTTCTTTACAGTTTGGTACAACCTTTTGTTTAGGCAGCCTAACTATATTATAATAAAAAGGGTCTTAAAAATGGAAGGTACATTCACACAAGTCCAACACTAATCAACCCCTTTTGTGTGAACATGATTCTTTTAACCACCTCATTAGAAGGGAACGAATCCTCTCCAAGAAAAGTTCTCTCCAAGTATTTACAGGTATTAATCCTACGATTATTAATGTGCCACATCAATAACTTATTTTACTACTGAATACATTAAAACATGATACTTTCTTACCATTCTGAAATTTTCTTTTTTTATTCATAAATTCTAGGAAATTAGTATTACCTAAATTTGATATTTTTACATAAACCCTTAAAATAACTTTCTTACCGTTTTTAAACTTTCTTTTTCGATTTTCTCCACCATCAACAATTTTTGATTTTTACAATGGAAGATTTGCAAGATTAATCAAACATATATTTTTATTCACAAATTCTAAAAAAAAAAAATAGTATTGCTCAAATTTGAGATTTCTACTTAAACCCTTAAAATAATTTTCTTATCCTGAAACTTTCTTTTTCGATTTTCTCTACCATCAACAATCTTTGATTGTTACAATTGAAGATTTGCAAGATTAATCAAACTTATATTTCTATTCACAAATTCTAGAAAAATTAATATTGTCCGAATTTGAGATTTCTACATAAACCCTTAAAATAATTCCAATTTCCAAAGATCTATGCTATGTGAGATTGATGAAAGGATTGACTGGTTTTGAGAGAAGAATTCAATTGTAGAAAGGAAACTGATCCCTAATAGGAAAGTTGGTTGGAAAAGCGTAATTCTAGATGTGCTTTATCCCCATTAAAAAATGCAGAACTGGAGGAAAAAAAAAAAAAAAAACAAAACAAAACAAACTCCCTCAACTTTCACGGTTTTGTAAAAAAAACTCTTTCAAACTTTTTTTTTTTTTTGACAAAACCCCCTTCTACTATTTCAAAAATATGCATATACTCCTTACCGTTTGCGGACTGTTACAATAGTGATGGAATATTTGCATTTTTGACCTGCAATCTCTATAATTCCATTCTTTATTGATCAAAACAAGCTTGTGTCAGTTTACAAGGGTTAAAATGGTAAATTAGATATATATTAATAACAATTTAATGAGTTGGAAGTAAGTTGCAACTTTCAAATAGTTGAGGGGGTTAGTCTTGAATTCTAAAGAATGAACCAATGCATGTAAGAGAAAATATTCATTTCAAACATTGCGGAAAATAGAATAAAATCATGACTCACTATACCACCATATGAAGACAAAGCCAAACAAGACCACATGTGCGGTGCTTCCATGATCCATCACCACCAACAGCAACATTTCCTCACAAGCATCAGCTAAATAAAACTTTGCCAAATTAATGTGAATATTGCATGAATTTTCTCCACAAAAAGCATGACAGCATAAATAAAATAAATATAATCTAAACAAGTATATAAAATTACATGTTATAAATTAACATAAAAACTCTTGCCAAACCTCTGGATGATACATATATGATCAAATATTGGAGAATTAAGGTGTGATCCAATATGTCATGTCTAATCATCAAAATCCCAGCTGTAACTAAGCCCCAAACTTCTCACTTTGTCCCAACAACACCCATGTGATGTTTTTGGTGATCATGAAGGGGTATGTATGTTGTTGATGTTGATGATGATGATTCAATCTAACATTCATCATATATTCAATCAACTTTCCAAGCATATATAAACAAGCAAAACTCAGATGTCCCACATGCGTTATACTCCTCTGCTGATGTAGAATTTGCCACCAGAGTCGTCGACAACGTCGATGTCAGTGATGATGATGATGGTACCAAAGCTGGGGATGGAGATATGGATGATGATGGTGATGATAGAATTGGCTTAAATATGAATAGTGCGCGCCTTAAACCAGAACTAAAGAGCCAGTCATGGACATCCCAATACACTTCTAGTCTAGCTTTATTGACATGTATGGACTCATTGCCTCTAAACTTCCATTGAAGATGCTTCACATGAATGACTAAATTCCCATCTATCTTGATCTCCATTTCTGAATCAAACCCTCCAACAGAATAGCATTCTATTGTAATGTCATGAAACCTTCCCTTTTCATGAAACTCTGCTCTTGTCAAGAACTTGTTTTTACCAAAAATGTGTTCCTTTTTCGAAACCAAGACAGGCTCAATGAGAGATGGTCTACAACCAGTTCTTCTGTAAGCATCCTTCTTTTGATCACCAGAGAGTAAGACCACCTCTTCATCACATACAATTGCGACATAATAATCCGATTGTGGCTCAATCTCGCCATTGAATTTTGCAGCCTTGAGGTCCCAAACCACATCAATGGACTTACCTTCCACAACCAAATGCTTTGTGCCTTGTTTTCGCCAGAAGAGCCATGGTTTCAGCTCGACCTTGCAGTGGCAGTGATTGTCTCCATTTGGTACTTGAATTGAGACAGTTAGTCCATGGAGTAACAAGTTCTTGTACCATGTAATGGTGATCAAACGACATTGACCAGCGATCTTTGTTCGATACACTGACATTAGTAAACTCTGGCCTGACCTTGTTATGACATTAGTAGGGTCATCAATTGGCCTCTCACGGGACGAAAAACAAGCAGGAATCCCAATTGGATCATGCATCATTTTCAGTACAAACCACAAGAATTGAATAATGGCATACAATAAATGGAGATCAAACAGAGAAAAGAAAAAAAACTAACAGAGAGGGTTAATGAATTGGATCAAGAACTTACAACAGTGTGTGTGACTGTGTGAGAGATCTTACCGGCAAGAGGATGCTGCAAGAGACTTTCTTGGTGGCATGTTATGATGAAGAAAAGAAATCCCAATTTTTGAAGTGATAATTTGAAGGCAGAGGAGGAGGAATTAATGAGGGAAGAGCAAACATATATTCAATTATTTGAAAGCCAATGTGAACTTTTGAAACTCTTTTGCCTTTTCTCTTTCTGTTTCTAACAAACTCACTTTTTCTTATCCAAGCTGGTTCTTATCAATGATTGGTTTTACCTCCACTAAATTATCTTTGTGAAAGCAAGATAAAGAAAAGGAAAAGAACCCCTTTTCATAGCTTTTGAAGCTCACATTTCTTCCACCAAAACAGAAAAAGTACATATTTCTACACAAGTATGGTATATTAGATGTATACACTACATGTATGTCTTTTGAGTTTGTTTCACTGTGTGTGTGTGTGAGAGAGAGAGAGAGAGAGGGAGAGAAAACATTTCAGGCATGAAGGCATGTGGGTGGGGAAAAGAAGACAAAGTCAAGGTAAAATGTGAGGACTTTTGGAGTTACGCATTGTGGATGTGGATTCTGAAAATTTACTAGTTTAATGAAGTTGGATTTTAGTATTTTGTTTTGGAGTTTTCCTGTGAACTATGTACTTATGCTTTGTTATAACTAGGTTAGGAGAATCTAGGATGACACATTACGGAGAATGCTGGGCATTGGAGATTGTGGTAGCAGAGATTGTTAACCAGCATGTACTATTCTGTAGTCTGAAGTTTGACAGAAGACACACAAATATATATATATAAACACACAGATGGTCATGTAGTGCAAAAAAAAAAAAAAAACAAAGGAGCTCCAGACATGATTAACAGGTCTAAATGGTAAATAGCCAATTTTCGCAAGAACTAGAATCTCTTAGTTGAACTTGGATCCCTTCCTGTTCATAGGGGATTTTGTGCCCATCTGGTATCAATGCACCGGCACAATGCCCAACACGGGACCCTAGAAGGGCTCCGTGCCCGTACATCAAAACAACGTCATTTTGATGAATCGATGGGGCACAGGACATGAGGAGATCCACTCTGCTCTCAAGTCATTTCTTCCTTGAATTTGCACTACAAGCTCCAAGTTTGTGGATTCAATTAGAAAAAGAAAAGACAATACAAAGGAAACCTTTTTCTTTTTTCTTTTTCTTTTTCTTTTTCTCCCTCTTTTTCGGTCACTATGGAAAATTGGAAGCGTGAGCTAAAGAAAGGGAAACATATATTGTTTTACATGTCAGTTACCTTTCTTTTCTATTATACCTTGATCATAAGAAAAAGCATGGGGGGTCATTGCATGAAGAAAATAATGTGTGGAAATCATTTTTCCTTTACTTTTTATTTTCTTTTCCTTTTCCTCGCTAAATCTGTGGTGTACCAAAAAAGATCTGAAGAAATTAGGAAAAATGTACATTGGTTAAATGTGTGGATCACTGAATATCTAAATCCTCACATGAAAATGTACCTGCAGAACTTAAAACTAACTCAACTGTTCTGCATAGTGACATTTATATTCCAGGACACAATTTAAAAAGATTTTACAAGTATTATACTGGGAGCTAACAAGATCTATGCTTTGAAAAAGAACAATAAAACAGTGGTTAAATATGCACAAATAATTGAACTAGGAACATAGCTGTTTTCACCTTGTTTAGAATTCATTATTATATATTCATCCAATATATTTCAAATTTCACATAAACCTTATTGTTCAATTTTACAACTTTCAAACCCTAAGGGGTTGGCCTAGTGGAAAAGGCTTGGCCCTGGAGCCTCGTTAAGTTTCAGGTCTCAAGTTTGATTCCCCTTTGATTCCCCTTAGATGAGAGCAATTCCTTGGGGTCACGACTGCGGACATAGTTTGAGTTTTACCTGATCCGTGTGGGGAGATCGCCTTGCACGAATCCCGTGGATTAGTCGGGCAAAACCCCGGACACCCCGGTTATCCAAAAAAAAAAAAATTACAAGCTTCAATTCCGAATAAAAAACCGAAAAACTTCAAAAGTTTCATTTAGCAGCTAACCTGTATCAATACACTTCTAATACAGGACTAGAAAATGCAAAATCATGGTATGAAGAATCATAACCCTCAACAATATTTAATGTGGAAGGCCATTAGTACAAGAGAGTGATGGTTTAGAGGAACATGAAAAATTCAATTGCTTGAAAGTTGATCAAAGATTAGTATTCTAATTGCCAAAAAAATAAAAACAAAAAAATCGACAGGAAAACATAAAAAAGTATGGCACATAAAGCTAGTTTTCTGTAGGGATTTCTCGATTTCAAAAGTTAGAGCTGGCCTCTGTAACTGTGACGTTCCGGATATGTACAGGAGAATATACAGTCGTCCTCAGCGGCTCTTGTTTCACTTGAATTGGTTTAGATCAATTATCATCACAGTGATGTCATCCAAACTACCCCTACTCACAGCACGGTTCACAAGCTCATTACAAGCAGCGAGAAGGCCATCGGAGGAAGGTCTCTTCTTATAGCCACTATTCGCTAGTTTCGGAGATTGACTGTTCATGTTCATCTGGTTGATCAATGAAATCCTTCGAACCTTTGATGGGGGGCTTTCATTTTCACAGGTGAAGAAGTCATTCTCATTTTCTTTCCAGCTATCAACTGATGTCTTATAGCAACTATTCCCTAGTTTCGGAGATTGATGGTTCATGCTTATCTGGTTGATCAATGAAATCCTTCGAACCTTTGATGCGGGGCTTCCATTTTCACAGGCGAAATCGTTTTCATTTTCTTTGGAGATATCAACTGATTTCTTATTGCTTGGGGAGTGACCCATCATTTTCTTTTGCTTTACCAAAGAAATCCTCCGTAACTTTGATGATGGACTTGTATATATGAGGCCAGTTTTGTCATCATTTTCTTCCCCATTGTGACCTGTAGATCCCAGTTTCTTTTCAACTAAACATGACTGCATCACCATATCAACAGCTTCTTGATTGCCAACCTAAGAAAAATCATTAATTTAAGCACTCTCAATGCCTGTAGTTACACACGTGTAGACCCACTAATAAATCAGAGAATTCCTATATCAGCAAAAGGAATCATGATCATGGGTAGGAATCACTATATCAACAGCTTCTTGATTGCCAACCTAAGAAAAATCATTAATTTAAGCAATCTCAATGCCTGTAGTTACACACGTGTAGACCCACTAATAAATCAGAGAATTCCTATATCAGCTAAAGGAATCATGATCATGGGTAGAGACTGGTAATTGCCAACTCGAGTACAAAAATACTGAATTTTTACTATTTGGAAAAGTAATGAGAATTGGCTGAACTTGCCAGCTGTGGAAGTTAAAATCAAAATCAGCTAAAGGAAGCGGCTTGATCAACGAGCAAAAGAAAAATAAGGCATATGAAACACATTTCTCTAAAATAAGACAATCTGTCTGAGCAAAAGCATGTATAAAGCACACAAAAACTCATGGGAGCATGAGGACAGAACATCACAACTGGCAAAAAGGATTGTTGATATGGAATCTAGATCTAGCATGGCTTGCTTTAAATAAAATTGCAATAGATACTATCTTCTTTCTCACCTTTTCCCACAGTCCATCAGAAGCTAAAACAAGATATTCCATGTCCTGAGTCAAAAATAGGGTACGTAAATCAGGTTCTGCCGGTACCCAGTCCTTCAAATGAGCGTCTCCAATGCTTCTAGAAACAGAGAGTATCCCATGAACTCTCCAAGCTCCCCGGTGAAGCTCCACATATCCCCCCTACGTCACAAGATCGAAAAGAGACCATCAAAATCAAAAACAGCTTCTACTTATTTCTAATATGCTTTGCTGTTCTAGAAAAAATACCTTATCCTCAATTCTTTTCCTTTCATCCTCCTGCCCTGCTCTATGATCTTTTGTAAGGGCTTCAGCCACCCCACTTCTAGAGAGAACTGCTCTGCAATCTCCCAAGTTTGAAATAACAATTTCCTTCCCCTCAATCAAGGCTGTGACACAGCAAGTACCACTACCTAAACCCTGCAATTATCATCAATTAGCACTAGATAGATGCAAATGCATGCTGTCCTTGCAACATCTCATTGAATTTATAAACATAGATTAACACAATATGAAAAGATAACGATAACATTATACTGCCTGCCTTGCCTCGCCAAACAAGACTTTGGCTCGCTACAAAACAATGATACTGGATGTTCTTAATTCATCCCTGGTGTTCTTTCTTGACTGACATTTCAGATTTTAAGTTCCAGTCAGCAAGAGCCATATCTTGGAATACCAAAAAGTCAACAGTAAATGTATAAGCATTCTACTTAAATCATGCTAGCAGCTACTGCTACTTGTACCATAAAACCTATTATGAACAAACAGATAATGTGTTACTGAAATCCCAAGTAAATTTGAACTATTTATCAACTTTATAACATATTAGCATCTATAGCGATACTAATGTTAAACAGAAATTTCTCTAAATAGAGAGGGTGTAACTTAATTATTTTTGTCATCTAGGATGCCCCATGTTTGATCAGTTCCACTGCTTTTGGCCAGTTCCACCATGAATGGGTAAAGCACATGCACCAAATGTAATTATCAGGTGAAGATGAGATTCTAACCTAGAACCAACCAAATACTCCAAAGACTTGCCGTACCCACAAAGTTTGAAGATGTCAACTTTATAACATATTAGCATCTATAGCGATACTAATGTTAAACAGAAATTTCTCTAAATAGAGAGGGTGTAACTTAATTATTTTTGTAATCTAGGATACCCCATGTTTGGCCAGTTCCACCGCGTTTGGCCAGTTCCACCATGAATGGGTAAAGCACATGCACCAAGTGTAATTATCAGGTGAAGATGAGATTCTAACCTAGAACCAACCAAATACTCCAAAGACTTGCCGTACCCACAAAGTTTGAAGATGTCATAATGCTGCATCATCATACTTTCTTTGTAGACAACATTTCCCATGCTACAATTACTGCAGCTTTTGTGGACCAAGAACCGATAAAAAAAAAATAAAAAAAAATACATCCAAGACTCGAACAATAACCAATTCCTTGTAACCTTCAACAGACTGGTCATACAAACCAGTACTCACAATATGAAACCAAATTTAAAAAACAAAACATTTAATATATACTATAAACTAAGCAACTCCCCGAGAATATTTTGGCCTGCCATTAATATAAACAAAGTATAGTTCTTTCTTTTGTTCTGACTTGACCAAAAGCACATAATCAACATATAAAAAGCATGAGCTTCTGGAAGTAGAAATACTGCAAGTGCCATTACCTGTTTCAAGAACTCCTGGTCTGTTTTTAGATACCCAGCCTTAACCAATTCCTCCTTCGCTGAATCCCTAGTAGAATTCTCCAACATTTCAAATATATTCGCGTGCAAAGTCTCCGCTGCAAAATCTGCAGCTTTCCGACCTCCATGTCCATCATAAACCCCAAAAAATCCCTACATTTCACCAACCCAAATTATGCTAATAACCCATTTATCAGGAAACCAAAAAAAAAAAAAAAAAACCCAATTTAACAGCAAAAACAAAGTATTAACACCCAAAAGTTCTTCACAAACTTCACACAAACACACATACAAAAACACATAAATGTATGATATTAAAACCAAATAAACCCCAATTTAACAGCAAAAACAAAGTATTACCACCCTAAAGCTCTTCACAAACTTCACACAAACACATACAAAAACACATATATATGTATGATATGGAAACCAAATAAACCCCAATTTAACAGCAAAAACAAAGTAATAACACCCAAAAGCTCTTAAAAAACTTCAAAAATGAAAAAAACACATATATGTATAATACCTTATTGCCATGTGAGCAAGATATAATCTTGTAGGTATCTTCCATGAACTTTTTCTTCCCTTTAACGGAGAGAACCCCAACTCCAGACCCACCGAAAGAGACGGTGTCGTGGCGGTGAGTACTGTCTCGAAATGCGAGCTCTGTTTCGGTACGAATCTCGCGCAGGACGTTCGGTATCTCAATTCCGGGCGGTCTCTTTCGCTTCAAAGAACAGGAAACAGAGGGAACGATTTTAGGCCCCGTTTGATTCCCTGAAAAATCCGAACACGACGAAGTCGAGGGCTTGATTGGGTTGTTGTTATTATCGATTGATCTTGAAATGATTGCAGACATTGTGTGATTGGTGGTGATTGTGGTGCGAGTGAGTGAAATGGTTTGCATTTAGAGAGAGAAGGAGAGTTTTAGAGAGAGAAAGGAGGGGTTGGGGTCGGTCTAACGGCTAGAAAATTGGTAGTAGATGGAAGGTGAGGTGAGAGAGTAGGCATATTTAGAATGGGGGGTGAGTCAAAAGGAGGATTGCAGGGCAGTTAGGGTTTGTGGGGGAGTCAAGGATGAGAGCCGTTAGGGTTAATTGGTCAAAGTTTGAAGATTGCAAAGGTGGAGGGAAAGTTTACAAAAATAACAAAAGAGGGGTCGCAAAATACAAAATTACAGTCTTGGCAGCTTCCAATTCCTTGACAAATAGTAAGAATTAGGTAAACTCCACCAACTTCCTCTAAATTTTGGGCTTTGTATATGAGTGTATCGTTCAACTCTGATTAATAATGTCCTTGTAGTATAATAATATTTATATTACATCATATATAAGGAAATAAAGAAAGGATAAAATTGTCATTTCACAAAATTTAGTCAATACTCCGTACTATCAAAAAATAAAATGTTAATGTCATTGAGCATACATACTAAATTTCTCTCACCAAAGTCCAGATAATAAATGCTACACATTATATCTAAACATACATTTAACTCTCGTTCAATTATCATATATTCAAAATTAAATAGTTTACATATTTTCTAAAAATTCATATAATTTGAGGAGTTGTTGCTTGCAATTTTTTTTTTCCTTCTTATTATTATTATTATTATTAGTATTTCTTAGAGCATGTGTATCACGCAATTAAGAGTGCAATTCGAAAGCGAAAGCTTAAGGATTATCTTTTGAATTTTTATCAACGCCGCTATATTCGTGAAAGTTTTTTCCTTCTCATTTTGTTTATCTTTTTTTAAGTAAGCTATATTTATCAACAAAGAAAAACAATTTTAGAATAAAAGGGGTATTCCCCCAAAATCGCCCACAAAATATGGTTGTTCTTGGGGTTTCAGATTAAGCAAGCTTGCAGTGAACACCGACCATAATGTATTTATAATTGAATAATATAACATTTCTTTCCCTCCAAATAAAGTAGAATTACCAAACCATCCAAACAAAGCTTTTATATTCATTTAATTCCAAGAAAGTAGCTACCAGTTCAGTCCATGAAGTGGTCAGAGAATTCATAACAATATTGTACTGCTGGTCTAACACTTTTCACACATTCAACTAGACTTATGAGTCCTCCATTTGAAGTTTTATTCTTTTACTTATTCAATTCATCCTCATCTTTGCTTCCTTTTATTTTTTTCTTTTCACATTAATGGAGTCGAGTGTATTGGTCATGACAAAAATTTTAAATTGATTAATAAATTAATTAATGCAACCTTCTTTCTTTATTCGGATTAAAATGGAAGACTCTAAAAACATAAAGTATTAAAAATGATGTAATTTTAATGTAGAGTAAAATCATAATATCCTCTTATACTATTCCAAATAATTATATAACTTCCTATAATATCAAATAAATCTGGTACTAATTTCCTGTAATATCAAATAACTCTTGTGCTATTTCAAATAATCATATAATTTCCTGTGGTATACCAAAAGTGATTATTTTATCCCAATGATATGTTTTTTAGATTGTGAAATGACAAAATTGACCCTATACTTTTAATTTTAATTTTAAAACTGAAAGGGTAGTACATGGCTATTTTTGTCATATGGAGAGTAAACATATTTATATATAAAAAAAAAAAAAGAAAAAAGAAAAAAAAGAAAAGAATAAGCATGTTAGTACAAAGAAGTTATGTCCAAAATTCTAAAATTTTAATATTTAAATCATCTAATACGCTCCATTGCGTTAATTATTTGGTACAATAATTGTCACCTACCAAAAATATATGCAAACACAAACATATGAACTATTAATTAATATTAATTAATATTGCCGTAATAATCCAGCAAATGTTTTCACAAAAAGAAGCAAAATATTAATATCATCACAGTTCATTTTGGAAACTGAAATAAGCCGTTGCTTCACAAAAAGTAGCAAAATATTAATATCAATCACGGTTTCAAAAAAATAAAAATAAAAAAGTTTTTGCAAATTAAAACACATCTCTCTCTCTCTCTCTCTCTCAAATCTAAAAAGCACACTTTGCCTAGATATCAGGAGAAAATCAGACATTCCATTCTAAAAGGTATACTTATTTTTACAGTTCGCTATATATTTTGCTGTTATACTTTCCTTGTCGCAGTACTTCTCCACTTGATTCTAGGTGCGTTTTCTCTCTCTAAATATATTCTGATATATATAAATATATATATATATATGCACATAAATAGGTATACATCAGTTTGTCTATTTGCATCACCAGTCTATGTCAGTTTTAATGAATTCCAATGAATACATTTGAAAAGTAGTCTATAATTAAGCTTGTTTGTTTTTTTGAACTCAATTTATGTTTATGTAGATGTTTGTAGAAGTTCTATACTCTTATCTTTGGATGTAAGTACACAAATTGATTTTTGTTGATTACAATACTAGAAATTTGGGGTGCTATGGTGTATCAAATTGAGGAAATTGAATTGGGCTTGCTTTAGTTTGAGCTCTGTATATACTAAATTATTAAAGGAGTCCATGTTATATATATATATATATATATATATATATATATATATATATATTATCTTGACAAATTAGGGGGAGGGGGAACACTAGCACACCCACTTGGGGAGTTAGGCGCTCTACCAACTAGGTCACTGGACGATTCCCGTTGGAGTCCATGGTTGGTTGCTGGAGTCAATTGTGAAGGATTGGAAACACGTGATTTGATTGTCTTGAATTGCTTTTATTCAGTTTAAGAGTTACTACTTGTTTGGTTCAAAGTGGAAATTTTTTTTTGTGGGTGCTTGATTTTAGTTCTCTCGTCGGGTTTTTCTACAGGAATTAGAAGGGGGATTCTAGGAATTTGGATGTTATTGTGGGGAGAGAGTCTAAAACCTTTAGAGTAAATATCACTGTGAAGGAAATAGAAGGCATGATTGAATGAGTAAGCACCCTCTTCAGGTAAATTGTGTCGTATGATCTTATGAAAAAATTCTGCATTTCGTATCGTGGTTGCAACTTTGCATTGTGACTATCGATGGGCATTAGCCCAAATGGTATGATCTCTCAAGCGTTCAAGCCTTTGTAGAGGCATGTGTGCGCGTTTGCTTGAACTTTCAGGGAGAAAAAAAATGCATTGTGACTTGTGGGGTCATCTAAAAATTTATCAGATAATCAACTCAGAAAGATTTATTTCTCTATTTACATGATTTGTGGGTGAATCTCTATCATTTAAAAATAATAATCTAATATTTGTACTGTGAATTTCTATCTCTGATTAAATTCTTTTATTTGGTTTCAAAGTAGTCTTCTATGACAATATCTTTGTTTACACTAATTTCTGGTAGCTTCAGGCCCCATCTTCCTTCAACAGTTCAATTTTTTTTGTGCTAACAACTTATTGAAAGACATATCAGCTCTCCTTGTTTGTGTTCCGATTTCTTTTGTTTTCGTTTTGTTTATTTATTTTTTTTCTTCTGGAAATTCAAGCAATCCGGGCTTCTTTTGTTGTGAATGCAGAATTAGAAGATTTTAAATCAAATGGGAAAACTCGAACGCAGGTCTGGAACTTCCAATGACTTTTATGCATGAATGAACTGACATTAGTTTTGTAACTTTTGTTACATGTAGCAGATTTTTATTTTTATTTTTAATTACCCTATTGTTGGATGCAGTGCAATTGTTAGAAAACCAGTTAAGACTATGAGACTTATTGTAACTGCTATTGCTGGACTTGTTTTTGGCTTCTTGATAGGATTATCATTTCCGACACTTCCCTTAACAAAGGTACACACCATCCATGGTTTTGTTCCAGCTTGTTCGGTTTTGTTGGTTGTCTTTTAGATCATGTGTTGACACTTCTTTTGTTTTGTCTGAATTTTGTAGCTGATTCTCCACTCCTGTCTTCCTTCTTCCATTGATCATTCATACATTGACGAGAAAATTTCTGCTCTCCCAATCCAAACATTTCAACATGCCGAGTACAGTTCAATCCAGGATAAAAACTCGAATGGTCTGTCGAAGGTAAACCTCGTTTAATTGATCTTAGTATGAGCAGAAAGTCCTGAGTGCAGTTTTACAATTGTTCAGATTTTATTTTATTTTATTTTTTCGAATTCTATGGCCTCTAGAAAACAAGTTTTGTGCAACCATGTAATTCTTTTTCCTTATGATTCTTGTCGTGCTAAGAAAGTGTCTTTATACTCCCTCGTTTCCCTTTTGATTTTGATGCAGATTTCGGTCCCATTAAATCCACGAGCCGAGGAAAGACTACCTCCAGGCATTGTTGCATCCGAGTCGGATTTCTACACCCGCAGGTTGTGGGGTAATCCCTCCGAGGTAACTGCACCTTTACTAAGGAATCGACTGATTTGCTGACAAAATATATATGATTAATGCAATATGACAGCTCTAGCAACTCTTTTTCCTTGTAACATATGAAAGGGTGAAGTTTTCAAACAATACACGGGTTACTAGAAATACAATGTTGTATTGTTTGAGATTGCATAGGATCAACATATACAATTTCCATTTTTTTATGTTTCTTTTGGTAGCTGTCACTAATTTGGACAATGCTATGGTCTCTTTAATGTTTGATCAAGTTTGCATTCACAGGACCTAACTATCAGACCGAAGTATCTTGCAACCTTTACTGTTAGTTATGATCAGAAACATAATGTTGATGCAGCTGTCAAAAAGGTCTCTTCCCTCTCTCCCTCGTTCCCTATATATATATATATATGTATATATATATATCTTCCAATGTTTTTTGTTTCTCCTTCAGTTTTCAGAGAACTTTACAATCCTTTTGTTCCATTATGATGGACGAACAACTGAATGGGACGAGTTTGAGTGGTCGAAGAGAGCCATTCATGTCAGTGTTCAAAAGCAAGCGAAATGGTAAGGAATCTATCATCGAAAAAATATAGTTTCTAGTTATTCTCTAGTGATTGTAATGCTTATACCTTAAAAGTCCTTGCAATATTATCCAAGGTGGTATGCAAAACGGTTTCTGCATCCGGATATTGTGGCGCCATATGACTACATCTTTATATGGGATGAAGACTTGGGGGTTGAGAATTTTAATGCCGAAGAGTGAGTGTTTAAGAGCAAAGACTTATGTTTATTGACACTTTTGAATCAATTGACCGAAAACTTAAAGGAACATAATCATGTCCTTTTTTTTTCCCCCGATTCCAGGTACATAAAAGTTGTGAGGAAGCACGGGTTGGACATTTCACAGCCTGGTTTGGAAGCTGACGATTCGATAGTGTGGAAGTTGACAGAGAGACAAGCTGATCAAGAAGTTCACAAGTAAAAAATTTAGAACTTTTGGACCAAACACCAAATGTAAACCTTAATTATTTTGCGTTCTTTCATATACATTTATCAACTAAAATAACGACATTTCCCGTTGCTTTTGTATTTGTTTTGCATCTTCTAAACAGAGAAGCAAAAGAGATACTACCAGGCTGGTGCACTGATCCGCATTTACCTCCGTGTGCAGCGTATGAAATACTTATATTATTGCTCGCTAAAACTAAAATCTTCTCCAATGCACTTATAACGGAGTCTGATAAGTCCTACTCTGTCTTTTCCGATGTCAGATTTGTTGAGATCATGGCTCCCGTGTTTTCTCGTGATGCGTGGCGCTGTTTCTGGCATCTGATTCAGGTAAGGATCACAATTATTGTTATTTTTGTTCATTCCTAGAATTTTTTTTTCTTTTTTTTTATTTTTTGAATAATTACTTCCTCTTAATGTCTGGGGATTGTAGAATGACTTGGTCCATGGATGGGGTCTTGACTTCGTCGTTCGAAAATGTGTCGAGGTCAGTGACCCTCTTCCCCTTTTTGAAAGTTCTAGCTGTTTTTCTTCTCTGGTTATGTACCTGTTATGTAGTCTGATAATGCTACAAAATCTAAGTCACTGATGAGTATTTATATAATTTCCTCTTGAAACTAGCCTGATTATGAGAAAATTGGAGTTGTAGATGCTCAGTGGGTTGTTCATCAAAACATTCCTACACTCGGGAACCAGGTATTAGAAAGCATTTCTAGCATTAACTTCTCACTCTTTTTTACTTGTTATGTCACACATATGAATATGTACTTGTATTTATGTATGTTCAAATCATTTCAAACGTGGTCTATAAACGGATGTGTGTGTATGTATGTGTATACATATATCCCTATACATAAACTAGAATATTGAACAACATTTTCGCATTTGGAAGGGGGAAGAAGAGAATGGACAAGAATTCAGGGAAGGGGTATGCAATGCCATCATCAATATTATTTTCATTTTGTGTATTATTTATTTGATGGACAATGCTATTCAGGCCTAATAGTTTAGCCGATAATCCTAACAGAGGGATTTATATCCCTTTCCGAGAATCCTAAACGAGAGACTGGTTAGGATTCTCGGCCAAACTATTAAGTCTGAGAATCATTATCCTTATTGGATTGATGATAACATTCTTTTCTCTCGCATACAATATGACAGGAGAGGCAGAGGAGTGACCTAGAGTGGGCAATTTTTATTCATCGATTGGAAAATGCCGAAGAGGAATATTACAAGGCAATGGGAATAACTCTACCAAATTCTACAGCTGATTTGGGGACGATTGAGAGCGGAAGCTGACTCAATACACTCACCATCATTCTGTGCTTAGGGGTTTTAGGGTAGTTTTAAATATTCAAATATTGAACTTAGAGTGATGGCGAGTGTATTGTCCATCAATTAGAACACCTCTCAGATTCTGCTCAGAATGACTTATAAGTTTCATTTGATTGTCCAAAACTGAACTTGGGGGCTGTTTGGAAAGTTTATAATCAGGTTACCTAACAACAAACACAATAAAGGCCATTATCAAATGTCTCCCTCAATGTTGAATGTTTGGAGGGAAAGTTTGAAGCAGACATAATATGCGGTACTATTTTTGCACAAAGTGATTGACATCATATTCGAATTTACATCTTTGTGTTTCAAATCATACTTCACCAACATCAATCCACAAACAAAATCCATCTGTATGTTAATTTATTCGAATCTAAGTGCGGAATTGCACCTAAATGGTAGCAATAATTTTGTATTTATTGACTATACGGTGCATTTGTGATTGAATCGCATCAAGTATCAATAAGAATTACCAGTGAATAGAAAAATATCGTTCCTACTAAAAGAGTAGTCTCACCGAAATTCAAGCTATGTTAAGTACCCAACTAGGGACTTGGATTCAGTCTAATTCACTGTAGAGGCAGTTGGTCCAGTCCAGATTTTCATGACCACCGTTTTGTCATGTCGCCCTCCATGATTAAGTTAACAAACCCAAGTAGCAGTAACATTTTAGCCAAAAATTGAAAATTTTCACCGATGATGGAAATGGTTAGACATGGGCTTGCCGGCAGCGAGAGCCCTTGGGTGGAGGAGGATTGACCCATATAAATATTACTTGCCTTTATGCAGTTATGGGTTGTGGGTTAAGAACCACCGTAAATGGCGGTGGAGTGCTAGTTGGGTGGAAGTGGATTTGGGTGTATTTTTGTTTTTGGGTTTGATGATCTGATAGTCCAAACATAAGAAATGATTACAAATTTGGCAAAAAAATGTTTGGAACAAAGTGTTTCATTAATGGCAGGATAGATTTGGTGTTGGTTTTGGGGGGAAACTATCCCGCCTCAGAGAGAAACTGTAGGGTTCCTTTCGCGTCAGATTGCCCCCAACTCTTAGATCAAAGAAACAAATCCAAGCATAAATCATGATTTAGAAGGGACTATGCGGCAAAATGGTGACCAAAAAAAAATAAACTGGACCAACAGTCTCTATAATGAACTGAACTGAATCCAAGTCACCCAACTAGGCATCGGTAGCCTGCTGCTCATTCAAGAAACTTCGGAGAAACTGAAAGGTTACAGCATTGCCATGAGGCACAATGTGATTGGTCATACCAAAGCTCAATGGACATGTGCCGGCCATGCAAAAATTGCCCTTTATATTCCATTTTAAAAAGCCCCCAAATCACTCAAACCTTAGTACAATCACTATCTCACAAAATACGCCTTACACGTGTTGCCACGTGTATACACCAATCCGAGGTTAGATTCCAAACCATGGTTAACAGATTCGTGGTTAGGATGAACCCACCCATATTTATCACCAATTCAAGTTGCTGAATCTTTGTGCTATTCTACATTTGGAAGCAAATTGCTTGGCTTCTTAATTTGTTCTCTGTTTCAGCTAAATTTAACAGGTACATATACACTTTGTGGGTTGTTTGGAAACAGAGGAGATGGGGCTCTCAAACTTTCCTAATCCAGCTGAGGGACTACTTTATGCGCTTGTGGGGAACACTTTTTTAACAGTGACTCTATTGAAGAACCTGGTGAGATCTGTGCTTCAAGTGACATGGATTACTTCAAATTCAGAGCAAAACCCATCAATTGATCAATGCTATCCAACAATTTCTGAGAATGCAAGAGCAAGAAGAGTATTGATAACCCGGTACGGATCTTTATGCAAGAACAGGTCTACACTAGCCAGGGCAACAAACAGTGGCAATACAGGTTCCTCAATGGAGTGTTGTGTGTGTTTGTGTAGGTTTGAGGCTGATGAGGTGGTGAGTGAGCTGGCTTGCAAGCATTTCTTCCACAAGGGGTGTTTGGATAAGTGGTTTGATAACCACCACCATAGTACTTGTCCTCTTTGTAGATCAATCCTCTGATTGGTTTTTGTGTTGTGATGGTTTTGAAGGAATTGTACTTTCCCTTTTGTGTTGTGATGGTTTTGTCCTTTCCGTTTTTTTCCAATTCATGTTATTTAAGCAAAATTAGACACGGAAGTGTGACAATTTCATGGTTTGCTTAATGTTTGTGTGAACAAGTTGAAAGATAATAAATTTATAAAATAAAGAATTAATAAAGGGTTGAAGCACATTAACATGTATTCAATTGTATGTTGTACGTAATTGTATAAGCCACGTGTTTGCATTAAATATCATGTAATTCATTAAAATAATATAATCTCTCAGATTTAAATTACCTTAAAGTCTTTAACACACGTTTCTAATCGTTAAATGTTATTTTTAAGATACTTGGAGAAAAAAAACTTTCGAATCAAATGATCATTTCGATCTCTCTGAGGATCCATTTCCATCTTTCCATTACACTGAAGACAGTCCTTTACTTATGGACGGAGCTTTTAATGGGCTAACATGGGTTATAAACCAGGTCCAATTTTTTAAAAAAATTAGTACTATTATTCTTATCAGCCTAGTCCATATATAATCAATTTTTAGTAGTACCCTTTTTCTCCGATTCAGCCCAATCTATAGTACTACTCTTCCTTTTCCTATCAGTCCAATCCATATGGGATATGCATGTAATCCATTTTTACTTCTTTTCAGCCATTTCCTCTCAACACGCGGTGGTATTTTCCTTCATAAGGTCTGGCGTGTTTGGGGGTCGAGCAAGAAAATTGCAGAAACTTGAGAGGGGGTCTAATTTCTCATCTTTTTGAATAAATATAAATAAAAAATCAATGAACAAAATACATAAATCATGAAACTCTATTTACAGGTGATTTTTAATTTTTATCTCCTGAAAATTTTGATATGATATATGAGAACATCATCATTTTTTTTTTTGTTTATTTTTAAATATATATAACATATCTTTATCGTAAGAATTATTGTGTTCATCTTGAATTTTTTTTTTATTATCCTTAGCCCCCTTTACTCTACAATTCTGGCTTCCTGCCTTTACTCTGACATGGGACAGTTCAATTGTAACCTAAAAGAATTTCATGAGTTAGTGATATGAAATGTGTGGCTTTCATGTAGATGGGGGGATCATGTTTGTCACATCAACACTAGTTGTAGCTGATTTGTGATTCTTGAACAAGCCTAGAATCTGCAAAAATGTGTGTGTAACTGCGTGAATTGTATGATCAGACGTGGAATCATATATATTTGCATGACCTAAAAATGGAAGCTTTCTCAAACATCAAAATCTGATCCCACATATAAAGTAGTTACCTTCCTAAAGAGGGTGTTGAGAAGGAAAGACTAAAAGATGGACCTAAATTTTAACACATATATGTACATCTCTTTCTTTTTTCCTTCCTTTGAATTAATAATGAACAAAATACAGGTTAACGTCTGAAGAAAGAAGCCAATTGCTAGTAAAAATAGTAATATTTTTCATTGAAAAGCATTTAGACATACTTTAACAGAGTACATAGCCTTCATTTATGTGGAAAAAAAAAAAGCAATAACATAGGATTTAGACATAATTTTACAAAAACATTAACATATATAGCCTTTATTTATGTGGAAAAAAAAGTTACATAGCCCTCAAATAACCTGATTTGAGGCACAGAGTGTCCTTTGTCCAACACTTGATCATCAACCCTCACTAATGGAGATCGATTTGCTGACTCGAAACTTCTTGTGCTCCACTAGAATGAACTCCTCAGCTTCAGCATTCACATCCTCCTCTTTCTTGACATGGCGCTTGCCATTCTTGGCATGACCAGCAGCACCATAGCCATAGTCTACCACTTCAACCTTCCTCGGAGGCGCCTCTGGCTCTGGCATACGCTCCTCAAAGCTATAGGATGACGCGTACCTGTCCTTCTTCCTCCGAGCCTCTGGCATTCGCTCCTCAAAGCTGTAGTACGTCGTGTACGTGTTTGGATATGGAGGTTCATTGACATTTGGATATGGCATTGATTCAAAGCGGGGCATGTAGTCATATTTTTCTGAACTTCGATGCTTCATTTTTTTCGTTGTGGGGGGGGGGGCGAAAAGCTAGGCTCTAAAATAAGAAGGGTTGATTGTTGATGTGTAAATAACAATGTATGATTCAACTGTATTTATAGATTGATGTGTTTGTAGCTGATGATAAGAGAGAATTTGATACTCTCTTTTTTGTGCCATTAGCATGTATTATTATATGCTCTGCGCCTAATCTTTTGGACCAAAGAAACCAGAGAAAAAAAGAAGAGATGTGACAAAGATTTGTGTATCATTGGAGGGTTGATGAATCTTTAAAGCACTTGTATACTATATATTATCAATTGGAATTTTTCATTACTAAAAAAGGATATTCTTTTTAGAATATCAGAATACTAGAAATTTCTTGCAAGAACATCTTTTTTTTTTTTTTTTGAAGTTTGGCTATAATAGAACATGATTCTATTTTGAAAATTCTAAAATTGAGATTAGGAGTTCAAGTACTTAATATCTAAGATGTCCTGACTTTTCTAAATCCCAAGCTAAGAATTGAATTTAGTTTGAAGATCTTTTATGTTATGAATTTTATTTATGCTTATTTTTTTATTTGAAGTTGAACAATCAAAACTGATTAGTATGAGAGGGACATATGATAGGCTTTTGCAACCAAAGAATAAAAAAAACTGAGAAGAAAAGAAAAAAGGAATAAATATACAAAAAAATCAAAGAATAAAGAGAAGACACGTTGGGCATGCATGGAGAGTTCAAGTCCATTTATAGTGAATCATATGCTCTTCTATTGAATTTATTTGAATGATCTCTTCGAGATAGCATCCAATCATGTGGAGCTTTGTGATTCATCCAATATACACACACATATATATATATACACACATATATATATGTGTAGGTGAAGTGCATAAAACTCCTAAAGTATACATACAGTACATATTGTATTCCATACGTGCAAAAACATATCCCTAAACTATGATATTTGTGCAAATAGGTCTTCCTTACTCATTTAAGATAGAATTGGACGAAAATACCCTTAGTTACATATTTTATAAAATATATAAAAAAACAAAATTATGTGAAATGACTAAAATGGGTACCCAATACCATCTTCTTCAAAAAAATTTCCCAAACTGTCGGTCACTTAAAACCTCCATTGAAGCTGGTGAGAGAAAATCTCGGAACAGTTTCATCGAACTCCACTTTTCAGCAGCGAAATCCAAAATTACACTGAATAGTTCCGGTGGTTGTGAGAAAGGATTCAAGGGTGAGCACGAATTGAATATTCGGTAACGACGAACGACATGACTGAACTGATCCAGTTCCAGCGAGAGTTTTGTTTGGAAGTTCGGCAATCTTGAAAGACTCGACAGCTCGATTGAAAAAGGGAGAGATCAAGTTTGGCCAAGCTCCGGCGACTTCTTCGGCCCACCTCTGCGAGACCCAGTTCGGTTTCTTGGGCTTCAGTTCACGATCAGCATAAAACTCTGGGGACTTGCAGTTTGGACACTGTTTTTGTAGGAACAAGACTCTTCAAATAGACCCAGATAATAGACCCAGATTAGCCATGGGTTTGAATCAGTTAAATTCAATGAATAAAGAACAAAATCAAATGGCTCTGATTAATCTAGCTTTTAAGTTTTAACACAGACACACACTTCACCCAATTTGGTGTTTGAAGCGGCGATGAGATGGAGTGCGAATCTGGCTAGAAAATCAGGTGAAGTGATGACCGGCGGTGAACTGCTTCGTCGTTCATCATTCGGCGGGACCGCCACACCGTTCTCATCTTGTCGACTACGTCATTTCCCGCCGTCCCTCCTATTTCCACCATCTGATTCGCGGCCTCTGTAACTCCAAAAATCCATGACACCACAACTACGGCGGCATCAGGTTCACGTCAAAGCCCCTCGTCCCCATGTTTCCCGATGAGCCCCCATCTGAACTCCCTATCGCAAATCCACAAAAAATTAATTTAAGCCCAGAAAACCCTATGTATATATATGTGTGTTTTATATGTGTATATATATATCGTACGCCTATAAGAAGGCCATGGAAGGACTGATGGTGAGAAGGTGCGGCAGATCCTGTTCCAATACCGTATGGGAGTTCAAGGGTCAAAAATAAGGGAACCTAGTCGTGGTGTGATGAGGGAGGAGATCTAAGAGTAGGAGGAAATTCTAGATTTTTTATTTGGGATTATTTTTGCACAATATACAAAGAATAGGGGTATTTTTTGCATACCTTTTTAAATAAAGAATAAAAATACTACGAAAAATATATATCAGCATATTTTTTGCACTTTACCCGTAGAGAGAGAGAGAGAGAGAGAGAATCAAATGATTCACATAATTATATTCCCTCTCCCCACTCCTCCTTGAGTATTTGCTTGGTTGGAAAGTTGCATATAATTTCTATTGATTGGTGATTATTGGCATTTTATCTATACTGGGCATTTTAACTTGTTTATGCGAGAACTCCTTTTTTTGGAATATTAAAAGTAAAATATATATTTATTAATTTAAGACATATTTATTATATGTATTTAGAGATATAAATATATATATATATATATATATATATATATGCTTTAATGCATTGTTTAATAAATTATTATTGTGAGTTAATTAATACAGTATATAATAGTCACTTTAGATATTTTACATTCATTATACATCAATTCCATTAGTTCTGCATTAATTACATATTAATTATATTCCTTTACATATAATATATATATACATTCTACTTTATTTAATTTGTTTTACACACATATAATATATATATATATATATATATATATATATATGAGTGATTATATTGTTGTGAAATGTTACAGAGAATGCATCGATAAATTTTGTTTAGGTGTGCTCGTACATGTATAACCGAAAGAATTGCTCTAAAATCTTAGTTGAGATCACCAGCCCTTCATGAGAATGGTGATGAAGTTATTGGTGCGTGTTGTATACATGAGAATGATTATTTAGTTTTTTAAAATATACTTGCCTTAAATGTTATTGGTCGTTTATTATTTGTTTATATTTCAGTGCTCTTTTTTTTTTTTTTTTTTTCTTTAATTGTATAGATAATTTAGTCATTCTTTTGGTGTACTATCTTATTATATATATGAATTTGTTTTCTTATTAGTCAGTAAGTTGTGTTCTGATTCAAAA